GTTATTCCTCCATAATGCAGCAGTTATTCCCCCATGAGTCAACAGGTTTTCCTCGATAACTCAGTAGTTACTCCTCCATAACTCAGCAGGTATTCCTCCATGATTCAGCAGCTATTCCTCCATGACTCAACAGTTTTTTTTCCGAGTAGCTCATGTTAATACAGAGCCAGCTGTATGACTCTGTTTTGAGGTGTGTGTAGTTTAATCTGCAGGTGAATCTTGATTATATAATCGTTTTCTGTGCAGTTTAAAAAGTTTGTAACTCCACTCTAGTTTTTTACTTGAGAAAGCTCCTCTGATGGGAAAAGTCTTTAACTACTGAATAGACGTCAGGTTATGTTTTTAAACAATTATGGGGGATTTATCATGTCCTCGATGGCTGAGAACCTACACCAGTAAAAGGCCACAAGACCAAACCTGGAGCTTTTTGTCAATGTCCCATCAGCTCTAGGCTCACCAACTCAAAATTCAAACTTACAAAGAAACAAAAGCTTGGTCTCAGTTGCAGGTCATGTGTCCTCCAACAGGATAATGACCCAAAACACATTTAAAGACATTCAAGATTTGATCAGAACCAAACTTTGGACTGTTCTGAAGAGTCCTTCTAAGCCCTGATCTAAATTCTGTTGAACCTCTGAAGAAGGAGCTGAAACATCTGGAGAAGGAACCCATTAAACCTGAGACAGCTTGGAGAGGTATGTTGAATGTTCATGAGAAGCGGACCAGAACACCTGTGGACAGGTGCAGAAGTCTTTGAGTCACAGAGATCACTGATTGCAACAATCCTTTTTAAGGTTGTTCAGCAAATCATGAAGTTCTGGTTCCATGCTTTCATCAATACTCGTTTTATCCGTTTGTTTGTTTGTTTGTTTGTTTAAGATAATTCTGTTGAATCAAAACATTAATGAGTGATTTTATTAAGTGGATTTTTAACAAATTCGTCTAACTTTTGTCAGGTTTGAGGTATTTCAGGACATTTTTAAGGTTTTCTTTCTTTACTGAAAGGTACAAGCAGATTTGTTTGTGTGTGTATATTTGCGGTTATTGTTTCTTTTTGTTTATTGTTTTCCTCAACCTGTTGCTGGTCGGCAGTAATGTTCAGGTAGAGTCTACTGATAAGAGGAACATCCTCATGAAGAGCAGAACCCAAGGCTCTCCAGCAGAACTTTGTCCAAAGCATCACCTGCCCCTACTAGCCTACCTTCTTCCCATTATGCACCCGAGGACATGGAGTCCCCAAATAAGGACATGATCCAGATACATGGTGATCATCAGACTGAACCACCTTTGTCCTTTGCTTCCTGGTCCATTTTGGATGTGTCCACTGTAGGAGGTGAAGGTGGTGGACCCGGGTCACCCTGACCCGTCTGCAGCTACACAGACCCAAACACAACTAACTGGGATGTTCTGTGGGTTCTGATATCATAGAGCTCCGGCAGATTTTCTGTTGGATTAGAGGAGTGCAGGTGGTCCTCTGGAGCCCAGGTCAGAGGTCTGTGGTCCTCCATTCACCGGTCTCTGGTTCTCTGATGTTCCTGCTCTGAACCAGTTCTGGGAGGTTCTGACCTCTGCAGACCACAGAGCTCTAATCGTCCTCGATGAGTGAAACCAGGGAGCCTCTGAATGAGTTGTGTGTCTTTGTTAAGCTGATTTTAATGACAAATTGGAAACGTTACACAACATCTGCATGTGACAGCTGTCAGTCACCAGCTAAGACCTCTGCTGGTGTTGGTGGTGGTAAATGACCCGGACCCAACGCTCTGGACCCTTGTCTTTTTACATCAGAACCTTTTCACGTCTTAACAGTCCCAGAACATTCAGTGACAAACATTTGATCCTAAAGTCTATAATGTGAAGTTTCAACAACAGTCAACAACAACAACAACAACAACAACAACAACAACAACAACAACAACAACA